TATATGTCATGTAATTATACAGTAAAATAATTTTACATTTATGTAAACAATCATGTCAAAATATTGTTTTTGGAAGTGAAAAAGAACAAGTCATCTTATAATTTACAGGGAAAAACTTTAAATTGACATTCCCAGATGTATGCTACATGTTGTTAAGTTAATGTTTATTGCAGTATTTTAGTACCATGTTTATTACCATGATGGTAATAATGGTAACAAAACAGTGTATTATAAAGGCAGAAAATAGATTTTAGTACTTCAGTAGGATGATGTATTAAGGTTATATCAGTTTAGAAAGCAGAATAAAAAAGGTAACTATGTCAAATTCAGTAAAAAGGTTCTCAAATGGGATCAGGCTAATTGAAACCAATATTTTTAAGAGTCTGAATGTCAAACAAAGCTTAAAATGTCAAGCAAAGCACATCTCTGACATCACACATCCCACTTAATAATCCAGTCCATTCTAGTTTATTTCCACCCGAGGTGACCATCAAATTTAAGCCAAATGCCTCATCCAGCAGGGTGCTTTTGAAAGAGTCAGCGAGGGATAGCCTAACATGTCCCTCTTCATCACATATAAACATGCTGATGGTTTTTGCGGCACCCTTCCCTAACAGCTGCTGACCTGGAGAAACCCTGTTACTCCCTCTTTCACTCAGACACACAAGCCACACACATACGAAAGAGCAGTTAACTGTTTGCTAGGTGATTAGACGGCTTTGTAAAGTCAGTGGTATGAAACATTAATGAAACCTAGTGCTTTCAACCCCTTCCTGAGATTAACGTCTTCATTAATTATACACTGAGAGGAAGCAGCTGGTAATTAAAGCAATAAAAAAAAACAGTTAAAACATGCTACTGCATTTTTCAATAAGATTTATAAGCAAGCCATTCAATTAACTGGGTGTGTCATTAAATACTTTTTTAAATGACTCTACATCTGTTGGGATCTTATTGCACATAATTTTTAACATTGTTTTAGGTCAGACTGGTATAATCATGAAATAAGTTCAGTAAGGTTCATTACATTAATATTAGTCAGTAAGTCATTAGGTATCATGAACTAACAATGAATATTACTTTTATTTATTACTCTAGGTTAATGTTAATTTGTATATATATATATATATATATATATATATATTAATGTTAATTTGTGTGTGTGTGTTTGTGTGCGTATATATATATATACATATATATAGACACATATACATACACACACTAGACTTGTATCAGAATTTCCTGCAATTGTGACTTATTTTTTTCATAATTACGAGACATAAACTCAGAATTGCACGATATAAACTCCCAATTCCGAGAAGAAAAATCTGAATTCTACGATTTATACTCGCAGTTGTAAGAATTCAGTGGGAGACAAACTCAGAATTCCAAGAAAAAACTCGGAATTGCAAGATGGAAACTCTCCACTAGAAAAATTATTTTTACCAAATCTAAAAATCTACAATTCTGTTTTCTGCAAGAAAATTTTGCAAGAATAGTGAGATAAGACGTCACAATTACATTTTTATTTTTATTTTTCTGTGGTGAAAACAAGCTTCCATAATGAACAAACAGAAATTAGTACATTTATGAATTAACATGAATCTAGATTAACATGCTTTAAAGATAGTTTTTCTTTGTTAGTTCCCTAATACCTAATGCATCAACTAATGAAAACAAATTGAACCTGACTGTGTTACCAGCATTTGATTAATAACAATAGTGTAAAATAATTTACACTAAATAAGTCTCAGTTATAAACGGACATTCAGGAATACCATTTAAAATATGAATTCATAGCGAGTGTGACCTGAATTATAAAAATGCCAACTATGAGTCCTATCAGCCTGAATAATTGGCAGATGGGAAGCTTCAGGCAAAATAAAAAATGGATAGTTTTGAAAGTGAAATTTAGATAAGTACCTTCCACTGCAAACATTCAATCACTCAATGCTTCCTTACCCCAACTGAGCTGTATAATTATACCCTCACACACATACAGTATACACACACATCAGCACAACGCATTTAATGGCCTCCAGCCATTCCACTTAAAATTCAGTTGCTCGCCCTGCAAAAACGATCATAGTCATTAATGTTCAGCGGTGATTAATCGCCTCCTGAAGATAAGCCTCTTTATGCAACACTATTTCACCCTGTCAGGATATTTAGATAACCCTTAAATTTATACTTACCCGCACAGACCGGCACACCTCAGCCCTCTGCACTGGGAAAACCATCCCAGTATCCCAACATTCAAAAAGTTTCTATTGCTGAATCACTAAAGGCTTTGTTAATCACTGCACTGAGGCTTTTTATGAGTGCATTATGAACAAAGGATCATACAATGTGAATCCCTACATACACACATGCACAAACTTCAACCAAGACAAAACCTAATAAAAAATGACTACTAATAATTAGAGCTGCAAATCATGCTGTTAGCATAGAAATTGCCTCTTTGATGGATGAAATTAATCATTGATTGAAGCCGTCCCACGGATTCATCTTTTCAAAAGCTCCCTGGGGAGATTATTCTGTCTTTTCTCCAAGCACAAACCCAGTTTTCAACCGTTCTGTAGCCGCTGGTGGCATAATGCTAATAACCAGCACAATAAATGACTGTCACATCTGCTCAATAGCCTAAAAGTGCTTCCCGTTCATTTGACAAATGCACAACATAATACCGCACTCTACAAAAGCGCACCTGAATGGTCAGCGATAGAGCATGTAAACACACGCTTAAACACATATTTAATTATATTCCTTCTAACATGCTAATGCACTCCATTGAACTTCTCAGCTACGCATGACTGCAGGTGAGCTTCAGGGAGCGTGCGCTTAAAAACCATTAGCAGGAATATATCAGTGCAGCATGAACAGATACAAATTGCAATTCTTGTTGCTGTTCGTTGTGTTAAAACAGAAGGATTGGCAGGCGTCCATATCTTCTAATGTGTTTCAGAAATCAAATGAACTGCTCAGACTGAGGACGCACTTCCCTTGCCATTGTCTCTCACTATCTCGGTCTCTCTCCCACTTCCCCTGAATTTAATCTCGTTCTGTTTCATTGTGATTGGATTGGACGTCGGCCCATCTCTGGCTTCATGTTCCACTGGAAATTACAGTTTGTTAGATAGCGCATCGCTATCCTAACTAGATCTTCTTTTAGCTTCTGTTGGTTAACCTCCAAACACTGAACAGCTCTTTCATAACTATTATCTGGTGATTAGACAGAAGATCACACCAAAAGAACTGAACAGTTAAAAACAAAACAGCACTGAAAATCTTCACACCTGCCCTAGTGGAGTAAAACAGA